TATTGAAGACTGCAGTCCTTGACCTTCTGCAGCAAGTGCTTCAGGTCCTTCTCAGTTTCAGCGAGCAGGGTTGTGTTATCTGCATAACGTAGGTTGTTGACTATTCTTCCACCAATCCTGATGCCACATTCCTCCTCATACAGCCCAGTGTCTCGGTTGATCTGTTCTGCATACAGATTGAAAAGGTACGGAGACAAAAATACATCCCTGAAGGACCCCTTTCTTGATTTTGAACCATCCAGTGTCTCCCTGCTCTGTTCTGACTACTGCCTCTTGTTCCAAGTATAGGTTTCACATTGTTGTTGTTGTTGTTGTTGTTATGTGCCGTTGAGTCATTTGAGGCTCATAGCGACCCTATGTACAACAGCCCTAAACCCTGCTCTATCCTGTGCCAATCGCATTGCCTCTGACTCACCCATCCTGATTATTATTATTTGCACGAGCAAATGTTCTTCTCAGAGTCAGCCATAGCTGGTTGTGATCCACACAGTCAAAAACCTTTGCATAGTCAATGAAGCACAGGTAGACATTCTTCTGGTATGTTCTGCTCTGCCAAGATCCATCTTACATTAGCTATAATATCCCTAGTGCCACAACCTCTTCTAAATCCAGCCTGCACATCTGGCAGTTCTCTGTTGAAACCTTGTTTCAAAAGTTTTTGGATAATTTTCAGCAGAATCTTCCTTGTATGTGATATCAATGATATTGTTCGATAATTTCCACACTCTATTGGGTCACCTACCTTTCTTTGGAATGGGAACAAATACTGATCCCTTCCAGTCAGTTGGCCATCTGGCTGTCCTCCAGATTTCCTGGCACAACCTAGTGAGCACATCCAGGGCAGCGTCTTTTTGTTGAAATACATCAATTGGTATGCAGTCAACTCCTGGAGCCTTGTTCCTTCATAGGAACTTGAACTTCCTCCTTCATCACCATAGGTTCTTGCTCATATGTTATTTCATTAAATTCCTCTGTGTCAGCCAATTCCTTCTGATACAGTGACTCTGT